ACCTGATCCGGATGGCCCCAGGGATCAGGAGCCATAATCTTCTTCATGGCCTGTATGATGGATGGTTGAAAGGTGCCTTCCGGAGGCCATCCAACCTGGAAGCCGGGCCACTCTGCAGAGCAAAAGTTTATTAATTTACTTTTTTTTGACTAGTAAAGACAAGTTATGGGCCGTGGCCCTGACATCTGAAAAGTGGTCAGTCATGAGAGAAAGTGGGGTAGATTCTCCCTGACCCATGGTCAAGGAATAAATGGTAGGGGAGAGAGAGAGAGAAGTCACTGAGAACGACCACCAAAAATCCTATCGGGAGTGGTGGCGGCCAAGAGGTTGGACTTATGGTATGCTTTTGGAACTGTTTATGTGCCTGCGTCGTTGCACGGAAGTTTTCTTGCTGGGGGCGGGCACCCTAGGGGTTTCTAGCCCATTCTGTGGCCCCCTTATCCTCTCACGGGAGTCTTCAAGTGGCAGGTGCCCTAATGGCCTTTAAGTGCCTGACCCGTGCCCACACAAAGAATTTTAGGCCACGTCCTCAGTTAGGGATGTTAAAGGAGAGTTTCACCCAATCGGGCTCCCATTACTGAGACTCACTTATTGTAGGGCCTTCAGAGTCCGCCAGAGTGTAGCCCTGGCCGGGACTCATCAATTGCCCCCACAACCGTTTGCCTGTTCACTGAAACTCCCAAGAATAAAAGGAGTTGAGGGAAGATCAGAGAAGAAGAGGAAAGGAAAGTAAGTCAGAAGAGAGAGAGAAGAGAACGATGCACCAGAAGAGAACGAGACCAGAGACAATGCCGGCACGCACACACAAACACGGAGGGTCGTAGACAAACACACGGATAGACAAATGTCGGCCGATAGCACAGCGCTGGGTTTTCGGGCCCCGAGTCCTCTTGCCTCCCAGTACAAGGTTTATCTTACCGAATGGCGTCCACTGTTCACCAGACTTGGGATCAGGAGAGGAACTCCCCTTCCCACAGAGCCGGCAGCCTTCCAGCACGCTCGCTGGCCTCGGTCTTGCGCCGGCTGGAACATCCAATCCGTTCCCCCTTTATAGAAAGCTTTCTCCTGTGCCAGATACCTTCCTGCTTCTCAGCAGGGCCTCGGATTTACACTGGACTTTCCTGTCCTGCCTGAGCACCGATGCTATATCTATCCTTCCCCTCTGTCCTGGAAGTGTTTTCCTTCCCCGGTCAATGGATCCCGGACAAGCCCGCAAATGTTATGCCCGATGTCCAAATCCCTGAGCGGGAAGAGAGAAGGCTTCCAAGACAATGCAACTCGCATAAAAGGGAACTTAATTGCTGACTCGAGTCAGGGCTCCTGCTGCGCATCCAACACAGTGGTACGGGGTCAGAGAGCGCCGAGCCCCAGCTGTTACCCAATTTATAAGGTGTGCATAAGCAGTTGGTAGCTGGCTTAAGTGGATTGGTTACATGTTTGCAAAGTAATCTTATTGGCCCAAACCTTCGCGGGCTTTTTTCAAACTTGGGCATTCGCAGGCTTTTCAGCTTTACCCTGATAGGTTCCCTTTTTCTTACTAGGCGCATGTTGATTGGCTGTCTCCAGGTGGCCTGATAATCATGTTACCCTGGAAAACCAGGCCTACTCCTAATCTAGGCTGCCTGTCATGGTGCAGCCTCACAACATGACCACTGGAAAAACCATAGCCTTGATTAGACGGACTTTGTTGGCAAAGTAATGTCTCTGCTTTTTAATATGCTATCTAGGTTGGTCATTACTTTCCTTCCAAGGAGTAAGGAAATTTCTGCAAGGAGTAAGTAATTTCATGGCTGCAATCACCATCTGCTTTATTGAAAGTTATTAGTAATTATCAATCCTGGTCTTGGGTCTGTTAAGATACTTTATATTAATACTACTCTATTTCTATCTATGTGTATAATTTAACATTTCCCTCAGTCCAAAAACAGTAAAAGTTTCCAAGGTCATCTTCTGCTTTATGCCACTTTATATCCACTGTGTCATTGAGACCTGGTGAGCTTGTGTTTTGAAGTCACAGCTCCTCAAAGCCTCGTTCCCATTACTACTGCGGATAATGAGCGGATCTGCTTGGCACGCAGATCTGTTCAGTCACCAAGTCCGAGTCCCCATTTGCAGGTGACTGAGCAGAACCCCAGGGACAAGGCAAGCATGTCTGCGCTCCTGTCTCCTGTTTGTGACTGTGGGGCCAGCAAGGACATGAGCCTGACCCCTGCCCCCCCAGGTCAACAGTGCTGAATACCAGGTGGGCACAGGCGGTTGGCCCTGCAGTCACCCGCTCCCTCTCTGTTGACTGAGGCCAGGGAGCCCAGGGTCTGAGCCCACCCACTGCAGCACAGCAGCCCCCTCAGCCTGACTCCCCTCCCTGAGGGCAGCAGCCCAGCAGAGCGTGGTTTCACACCCACCCGGGTGGAAGAAGCTGCCGACAGTCGTTGCCCCATGTCCCCAGGTAGGAGTCAGCAGCTCAGAGAACTGGGGCCAGTGCCCCCTTTGCTGGGTCACCGGTCAGTGAATACACACCTCTGATCTTCTGCTGCAGGAGGCTCTCCAGGTAAAAAGAAGAAGAAATGGGAATCACAGTTTCTTTAGGGAATATGCTATGCACGGGCCTGTGCTATAATAACCAGGGCCTCTTTGACAAATAAGCATGACTTTCTCATCACCCCCAGGTGAAGGGCTGGGAGTAGATAAAAGTACATCGTGGAAAGACATCTTGAAGTACTGATGTGACTGATGGAAAACCATTAGTGACTGTTCCCATAACCAGAGCCTTGAGGGAGTTGCTGAGAAAGGGCGTCACTAGCCGAAGGGCTAAACAAAGTCATGAAAGGCCTGAAGGTTTGACATTGAGGACTGTGCATTCTCTGTCTTTATCCCCCATCTGAGATTGTAAAGAACAGATATCTCTAAAGCACGATTAAGGAAGTAGAAGTTAACAATAAAAGGCATGCAAGGGTTAGGATCTTGGCTCTTCCCTGTGAATGGCATCAGACCCCTGATCCCCACTTTATTTCTGAGTCTTATTTTCCCTTATTCTTCTGCAGCACCACTCCCTCAGATTGGTTCGTTGCTGGTCTGGTCCCAACAAGTTGCTTCATGTAATCTCCCCAAAGTCCAGGACCTAGTAAAAAAATATCACTGATATCAAGAACCAGGAAAGTAAGTAATGATGGAAAAAGAGACTTACATAGACATCAATGCTGAGGTGACTCAGATGATGAAATCAGGTGACAGATATTTTTAGTGAACAACCATCAAATCTATTTGATGAGCAAGTATGAGCACTTTTGGGGAAAAGGGAAAAGGAAATAAATGCAAAAAATACAGTTCAGAGAACAAAGTGGGGCTTTTCCCTCATAGCTCAGTCGGTAAAGAATCCGCCTGCAATGCAAGAGACCAGGTTCGATTGCTGGGTCTGGAAGATCTCCTGGAGAAGGAAATGGCAACCCACTCCAGTGTTCTTGCCTGGAGAATCCCGTGGACAGAGGAACCTGGCGGGCTACAGACGACGGGGGTTGCTAGATTGGACTCACGGCTTACCAACTTAACCAGCACCACCATGAGAACAAAGTAGGCAGAAACATAGAAATTCATCAGGTGAAAGTAAAAAAGAAATTCATCTGTTGAAATCAAAGACGTGTAATGCTTATTGCTGTTTAATTAATTTGTTCCTGGTTGGAGTACTCCATGACCTGAGGACAGGCCGCCGCCCCTCCGTCCTCGCCATCTGCCCTCCATGGTCATTCCCCGAGCGCGTCACCAGGCGGCGCTGTGCAGCTGCTCAGAACTGGCAGAGCCTGAGCACACCAGATGGGCCCCTGACTGGGCGAGTCCCCAGGCTCCGGGGCCCGAGTGGGACGTGACAGCAGGTGCTTCCTCTCCGGGGACAGACTCCGGGCCCTGAACCCCCCGGCCTCCTCCTGGGAGTGAAGCTGCAAAGGGGGCCCATGAGCGAGACCTGGAGGGCTTGGGCTCAGGCGGTAACCAGGCCCCACCCTCTTCCCCCGGAGCAGAGGAGGGGAGGAGCTCCCAATCCCGCCCCACGAACCCCTCCGTTCCCCTCAGTCTCCTCCTGCCCCTCCTCAGCGGTTCCCTAAGAGCCTCCGTTCCCTCCCCTCCCGCGCTGATTCATGGCTTTCCTCCCCAGTCCTGGGCTCCCTCCACCCCGTGACCTCCTCCAGCCTGACCAAGTTCACTTTGTCAGAAGGTCATGGACGTGTTTCCAGATCTTCCTGAACGGGACGCTCACTTCCTCATCCTCCCCTTGAACCGCTCCGACATCTCCCTTCTGCAGAAGCCTCAGGTCTCAGACTCTCAGCTGTGACCCCAGCTCAGCCCCTTCCCCTCCTCCCCAGGTTCTACCTCATTTCCCAGGGGACCCATGAGTCCCTCCAGCAACTGATTCACCCTTGCAAATGCTCACACTCTGTCCTGTGAGCCCACTGACAGAGGAACCAGGTGGAGAGAGAAAGCCTGGGTCCTGAGGACCTGGGAGTGAGTCCTGGCTGAGGTGCCTCTGTCCTCAGCTCCTGTGGGATTGATTTTTTGCACTGTGAGCCCAGGAGAGGTCCTGGGGGATCTTAGCTGGGAAACCAGACCCTGTTCTGGGTCTCTGCTCAGTGGTCACTGGGCCCAACAGCAGATCCTCTCTGTGTCCTTGGGGAACCTCAGGACAGACCCAGCTCAGGCCACCCTCCCAGATGTGACACTGAACCCTGGGTGACACACAGAACCCAGGGAGGTGTTTGGTAGATCACAGGACAGGGGCACATTCGTCTGAGGGGCCCTTTCTCCTGGGGGTGGGGGGCTAAGAGACAGCAGTCGCAGCCTCAGCACAGCTCTGGGGCGGCTGGCCTCCCCTACAGTCCTGACCCCCCTCCTTCACTGCAGAGGTCAGGACAGCCCTCAGCACCCTGACGCCCCCTCCCTCACCACTCCCACCACATGCAGGAAACGTACCTCCCTGTCCTTGCTTGGGACATAAAGGGTGTCTGTGATCTCAGGGTCCCTCTTCCAGCCTGTGCTGACACAGCCGCCCTCTGCATCTGCCTCCCTGGGAGCCTCGGCCAAGCTCACCTGCACCCTGAGCAGCGGCTACAGCAGCTACTGTGTGAACTGGTACCAGCAGGTCCCAGGGAGGGGCCCCCGTTTCCTGATGCGAGTGGGCACGAGTGGTGTTGCTGGATCCAAGGGGGATGGGATCTCTGACCAGTTCTCAGGCTTGGGCTCTGGCCTGGAGGGTCCCTGACCTTCCAGAACATCCAGGACGAAGACGAGGCTGACTACATCTGTGGGGCAGCCCATGGCAGTGGGAGCAGTTTCGTGTAACCCACAGTGACACGGGCAGAGAAGTGAGACCAAAACCCCAGTGATGGCCCCTCCCCACTGCCCTCCCATCACCAGACCCACAGTTTAGAGGGTGTCTCCTGACCTTCCTTGAGAGTTTCCACCTCATCAAGTGTTTTCATAACTCGGCACCTATCTGGGAGGAAGGTCTGTCTTTGCACAACCTTCCTGGTCTTGGTCCACAGCAAATGTTCCCCAGGTCTGTAAAATGTAAGCCAATCTAGACCAAATTTCAGTGACACATATGATGTCGTGAACTTCAAAGCTGGAGAACAGGACCCCCTTATCCTTCACTTTGCCAATCTGTACAACATTCACTTGGAGCTTCCCAGATGGCACTAGTGGCAAAGAACGTGCCTACCAATGCAGGAGGTGTAAGAGACGTGTGTTCGTTCTCTGGGTAGGGAATATCCCCTGGAGACGGGTATGGCAACCCACTCCAGTATTCTTGCCTGGAGAACAGAGGAGCCTAGTGGGCTATAGTCCATGAGGTCACAAAGAGTCGCAAATGACTGAAGCGACTTAGCACACACAACATTCACTTAGCTGACCACCGGGGAAAATAAAAATCAAATGAATCCATCTGACAGTAGTTGGAATTGATTGCTTGGGTGCACATGTGATATGCACTAAAGACTGTCCCAGGGAAAGTGATGATATTGAGATCTTTACTGTCTTTAGTGATGAAGTAAGATGAGGGTTAAGAGGAGTGGAAGATTGAAAGAGGGAAATCACACTGAAGTGGGTCGATCTTGGGTAAGAATATAGGGGATTCATGAGTCTGCTCCTCAAGGATTTTTGTAATTTCAACAGAATTTTTTACCCAGTGACAAATGTGTAAGAAAGAAAACCTCCATCTCTGTCTGCTATGATGTGTGTCTGTCCTGCATTAACAGATCACCCAAGTGACCAACTTCTATGCTTCCACCACATTCTCTAGGTCAAGCACTCTGCATGGAGGCTGGGACATCCCAGGGGCAGAGGAGGTGCCCATGGCCAGGAGGGGGTGCCATGCAGAGTCCCAGAGGGGGTGCCGGGCCAGAAAACAGGGAAACCTCTCAGGGATCCAGAGGACTGTGCAAACTGTCCTCCCTGATTGGGGGGGGGGGGGTCCCTATTCCCTTTGAGCTCTGTCCCCTGGGAGCTTCTGGTCCTAGTAACCTAAACAACCAGTTCAAATTCTGGTCCCTCCTTCTCATCCATGTGGAGTCTTTGCCAAGTCTGGGTCAGAGAGAAGATGGGGAAATGTGAGGCGTCAGAATGTGTCTCCAAGTAGAAGTGGCTCCTGGGAGAGTCTGTGCAGAGCAGAGGCCCCACAGGGTGACCTGTGTGAAGTTATGTGTGTGTGATGAGTATGTATTAGGATATTACAAATGTGTTTTTCGTTCCTGTGTTAATGTGGTTTTTGCAATTATTGGTGTTCAATTTATGTTTTAAATGTCTTCCTATAAGGCAAACGTATATGGAAACACTAACACTTGATCTGATAATGGAATTACTTTATTAACTTTTCTTTAGAGTATTTGGATCACTGTTTAAGCAGAGTGATTTATAATCTTCCCACTTATGTGTTTTATTTTCAGGTGAATGTCCACCAATTAAACTGCTTTCTCAAAGAACTAGGAAATTTTACATCTTTTGCAGTGTTTTATAAAAGAAACATACCAAGCAAATCTATGGGAACAAAGTAGTTGCTGGAGTTTGCTAGATATTTTATTAGATACTTCCGGTAAATAAGTATATATTATGTCTTTTGTGGAGTAATTCAATGATAAAATTTCCCGGGTTTTCCTGAAAAAAATTAATCTCTTCACTTATATTTTCTACGAGACCAAAGTAGTACCTTCCTAGGAAAGTATGATGCGAAAGTGAAAGTCATTCAGTCGTGCCCGACTCTTTGTGAAACCACAGACTATACAGTCCATGGAATTCTCCAGGCCAGAATACTAGAGTGGGTAGTCCTTCCCTTCTCCAGAGGATCTTCCCAACCCAGGGATCAAACCCAGGTCTCCTGTGTTGCAGGCAGGTTGTTTGCCAGCTGAGCCACCCGAGAAGCCCAGGAAAGTATCGTATCCTGGCTTTTTCAATGGTTTCCCTGCAGCTCCTGCCCGGTCTCGCCCATGTCTGTGTCTGCAGGCTCCCGCTCCCAGCCTGTGCTGACTCAGACCGCCTCCCTCTAGGCATCTCTGGGAGCATCAGCCAGACTTCCAGACTGCACCCGAACAGTGGGTCAATGTCGGTGGCTAGCAAATGTCCTGTTTCCAGCAGAAGCCAGGGAGCCCTCCCCGGGACCTCCTGATGTTCAAGTCAGACTCCAATAAGCCCCAGGGCTCCCGGGTCCCCAGTCACTTCCTGAATCCAAAGATGCCTCGGCCAATGCAGGGCTCCTGCTCATCTCTGGGCTGCAGCCTGAGGATGAGGCTGATTATAACTGTGCTACCGTTCACCAAAACACTGGTATTTACAAGGTGCTTCAGACCCACAGCGGCCCTGTGCCCTCCCTCATGTGGCTGTCACTGCTGTTCTGCCTGGCCCATGTCTAACTCCAGTTAACCTGCTATGGCCACTTCTGAGCTCCCTGAGAACAACAGATCTGACCTGTCATGTACTGCCCCTCATCTCAGATCTGAGACTCACCATGGCTCTGATTGCTCAGACTGTCACGTTTTGACACACATCTTCCTAATCAGAGATAAAAACCCCGCAGTGGAGATGCTATAAGTGGCAGAAAGAGGCTGATTCCTGCTCTGCTTCACTCAGACCCCCAAAAATTAATAATGCAAATATCTGTGTAAAAATTAAGTTTTACTTACTAATAAAAATTTTCAACAGATTCACCTTGTGTCATTTGTTTAATGTTTTCTTTTTTTTTATTTATTTATTTTTTTAAATGTTTTCTTAATAAGAAAATAAACTTACAAAGATAATTATATTTCAGATATGAAACTCTTGTCAATGAAAAATTGAAATAAGCATAGATACCCCTTCAATTAAACTCATGCAGGTATTTAAAGTAATGACCTTAAAAGTTTCACTAATCCATTAACATCTTTTCATACATTTACTGTCTCAGGGAATTCCCAAGTGGTCCAGTGGCTAAGACTCCATGTTCCCAGTGCAGTCAGCCTGGTTTCATCCCTGGTCAGGGAACTAGATACCACAAGCCACAATTAAGACACCACCTAGACAAATAAATAAATAACTAGTTTCTAAAAGTCTCAAAGTCACACCTACAGTGTAACACACTCATGCAGTGTAGGACAAACTACAGTCGGGCCATGCTTCTCCAAGCAAACTTTCCCTAAATTGTATCTTCTCAGACCCACTAATTGGTATGGTTGGTCCTACCACCCACCACATATCAGGGTCCCTGGGAACACACCTACAGTGTAACACACTCATGCAGTGTAGGACAAACTACAGTCGGGCCATGCTTCTCCAAGCAAACTTTCCCTAAATTGTATCTTCTCGGACCCACTAATTGGTATGGTTGGTCCTACCACCCACCACATATCAGGGTCCCTGGGAACAGACGCTGCTCAGAGCCTTTCAGAGTCTCAATAAAAGCTGCCATGAGTATTACAGCCCTGCTTCCTGCAGCCTGTGCCCTGTGCCTGTACGAGATATGCCTAGTAGGGGTCACTTCATGAGAGGACACAGTGATGGGGGTCCAGTGTGTGGAAAGCTTCACACACGTAAGGATCCAGACATTTAGGAATCCAGAGTCACATCCCTGACCTCTCCCCCTACACCTTCCCACCTCAACAGAGAAAAGCCCTCTCCTCCTCACGGCTGAGGGGACACACAGAGGCCGCCATGGAGGGGACCGACAGAGGAGGGACCCGCTATCCTGCCCAGAAGGGGACGGGCCTCCCCGGGGCCAGCACGGCCCTGACCTGATCCTGATGTGAGAGGAGCCTGTGCCCCAGACGCCCTCTCAGTCCCGACCCTGAGCAGCCCAGGGAGCCATGGACAGACTCGGCCTGAGGGGCCCGAGGGGAGCACACAGGGGGCCCCGAGGTCGCAGGGGACACAGAGGAGGCCCCTGAACTGGCTCTGAGGCGGGGACAGAGCACAGAGCTGGGCCAGGAGCTGTCCCTGAGGGCTCTGGTCACCAGGTCACAGGAAGCGTGTCTGGGCCTGGGCAGCAGGCGGCGCGACAGGACCATTCCTGAGGTGGTTAGTGGGCTGAGAGCTGGGCCCAGCCCCTGAGGTTGCCAGGCAACCACTGCTCAGGGCTCCTAGATGGGACCTCCCACCCCTGGGCCCCAAGAGCCCCGCCGCAGTCCACACCCTGCCCCCCTCAGGCACAGAGACCTGACCCGGGGCCCAGGGAGGGTCAGAGAGCTGGGGGGGGGGGGTTATTTGCATGAAAGGACCCTCCCCTCTCAGAGTATGAAGAAGGGAAGGAGCGGTGTGGGGACGCGCTGCTCAGCTGTGGGGCCACAGACGGCAGGACGCCCTGACCGTGTCCACCATGGCCTGGTGCCCTCTGCTCCTCACCCTGGTCGCTGTCTGCACAGGTGACTGGATGCGGGGACAAGGGAAAGGCCCTGGGAAAACTCAGAGGCCCTGCTCCCTGGACCCCCGAGTCACCATCTCTGTCTCTCCCCCTTCCAGGATCCTGGGCCCAGGCTGTGCTGACTCAGCCGTCCTCCGTGTCCGGGTCCCCGGGCCAGAGGGTCACCATCATCTGCTCGGGAAGCAGCAGCAACATTGGGATATCGGGTGTGAGCTAGAACCAACACCTCCCAGGATCAGCCCCTAAAACCCTGATCTATG